ATTATCTAATTTACGGTAATATCCCACCCCTCCGACTAAATATACCCATTATTCTTACACTTTTGTGTAAACTACAAGCTAAATCCTTACCCCACCGACCCCATAGTAACTGTAAGATAATTCCCACCCCCAACTGATCCTAATATGTGTTCGATACTCAGATCGATACGCTTACTAGGTAGCGCATAAGAGGCAGTTTTGGCAATTATCACTCATGAGGTCCCCTAAGTTAAGTGTTCTTATGTGTCTTTTAAATTTACTTAGGGTATCTAATGACTTAACGTTCCTCTTAAGCTTAGACCATTTTGAATTGTTTCTACCCAAGCTAGACCACAATGCTTCACGTTTATGGATCTCAGAAGAGGCCTATGACAAGTAAACAGGGATTGTTTTCGTTTCCTAGGCAACCGTCCAATCTGTAAGGGAACGTTCAAATCTCTTCTGAGCTACTGTGTATTGTTTGAGTTCGTTACCTAACATCACACTCCTTTTATTGATCTAAAAATTCAATTACTGACTTATGCATGACTGCGATCTTTGGAAATTCAGTAGATACAAGTAGATCTATAAGCACAAAATAGATCATGCACTTGCACTAATTTCCAATCTGGGAGTCAAAACAAAAGAAAATCCCTCTTCTTGATGCTTCAGTACAATATCTTTAATCCTGTTATTGTATTATGTGTATTTTCCCCTGACCTCTGTAATCTTGTCATCACAGGTGAGTAGAGTTCCTTCCTTGATTTGTGGCCTCGGGGTTTTTTCCGGGTTCTCTGCTGCTCAAGTTCCCTCCTCCACACAACCCAACTAAATTCCAATGGTTTCCAATTGAATTATTAATTTGATTTCGGAAGAATAATATTTATTATAAACCATGCAGGTTTTTCGTATTATCCTTTGCTTCTTTTATCTCCTGCTCTTTTTCTCGTTTCTGGTTACAATGGGAAAGTCGTCAGGCTTTTGTAATATTTCTGAACATAGTAACTGGAAAAATTTCAGTTCTATTATTGTCTATTGTCTAGTTAGAAAATTAGTAATGAATATCGCATTAATTTCCAGCATTTTTTGCTCAATGACGATATAGAACATCAATAGTTATCTAATAGTTCTCAAAAGTATAAACCAAAAATGTATAAAATCGTCCAGTCGGAAATAATAAATAAATGTACTTCATCTAAAATACAAATCGGTGCAAAAGAAAACGTCAATAATGAATACTGATCCGATCCATCTTCTGCAAGTTATGCCCTGCAATAAATTAAACCCCGCAAAATACTTGCTAAAGTACGGTAAGTAAATCGGATTCCTGGTTAGATAAATTGGTCAAAAGTTTGGCTGTAATCTATTTAAATCCCTTACGAACGACGTGCCATTATTTTCAGTACTTCCAAACCTTAGTAACTGATAATGAAGGTTTTAGTGCTCACATGTTTGACAGAAATACTCGCTGTAAAAGTAGTAGTATTAGTAGTACTGTAGCAAATGTTAGATTTTTTAATTCTTGATGTCTTTTCTGGGGAATTTATTTTAGATAGAAGGGCGTGATGTTGAGTGCAATTCAAGGAGAATAATTCTAGAGACATGTGTTTTTTCTATAAGGTTTGAATACATAAACCATGTACACATGCAGATTTACTTCATTATCACTGAAGCTCTAGAATTTTTCTTACTGCTTTTGATAAATTACAATTTATTTCGCAAGGATTTAAAATGACAAATATACTCTCCGTTTCATAGTAGCAACACTACTACTGAAATATGCTAGCAACGGATTTTTAAATCATATGAATTGGAAAATACTTAAATAATGTTGGTGGGAGAAAAACGACAGTAAAATCATCTTTTTTGTGCTTTGATGTGTCTCGTGTGCGAAGAAGGGATATAATCACGTTTTGGCTAGTAAATTAAGCTTTCAATTCGAAAAAATATATATTTTCCAATTTATTCATTTTCTCATACCTTTCAATCTCTTTTACATCCTGTACATTAAGATAAAACTAGTTAACACCCATGAAATGAGATTTAAATGTACAAAAGTGATCCACAGAACAAAGAACTTGTCACCATTCAAGTCAACTCGTTCTTGCGGAGTGAATCTACCGTTGATTGTTTTTTCCGTTTTCACAGCTGTGGAGATTTAGCTATATTACTAGCTATATTCAAGAAAGACTAGCGACCTTTGCCATTTAGTCATAAATGGCTTAAAACCGAATACCAAAATAGATCCCCCTCTGCTAGCTAGCTTCTCGTTTGCTCTCTAACGAGCTTTACATCCACTGGCCCAACACATTCAGTTCGAAATTATTTCATTCAGAAATAATAATATATTTTTCAATAACGTGGTTGTACTTAATCAAGATGTGTATATTAGTCGAAGATATTGTAAACTGTAAATTTTCAGAACAATCTATATTACTTTGAACGATCTTTGTTTACATTTTAAATCGAAATAACTATATGGAAAAAAACCCGGAATACAGTGAAATAAAGAAATGTGATTAAAGAAATCTAAATCTTACCTTTCATCAGCTTAAAATTCCAATCCTTTTCGATTAAAACATTAAGATGTTATTTAAATCCTCATTTTCCCGCAATCGATGAAGTAAAATGGCAGTAATGAAAATCAAATCCCTCGAATCTTCTTTCTTTTTTAACGTAAGGATAAAATGGCTCAGTTGTATGGTACTAGATAAGGCCAACTTTTGCTCCAGCTTGACAAATTTTTTGTAGCGAGTACCAAGGTTTTCAACCCTGCAAAGAGAAAAATTTTTCTAGAATTTCCGTGGGCAATAGGGATTTCCTATGACTGATACACTCCAAATATGCTCAATAATACCATGCTGGCTAAACATCATTAGTTCTAGACCTTATTCTATTGGCCAACACTTCAGCGTCTCCATGGTGGTACGAAGAATCTATTCTTTAGTAATACAGTCGGTAGATTAATATATTTTAGTTATTTGAACAAACTGGAAATAAAAACAAATGATTGGTTTTAAGCGATGATGTTTTGAGGCATCGTATAAATAATCAAAACTATATTCTATTTATATAGCTTTGTTCGCTTAATTTTTTTATTAATTTACGAACTTTAAGTGGTAAAATAAAGCAGTACTTTATATAATCAAAGATCTTGATTAAATCAAGATCAAAAGCTATAGTAGAGTTGAATGTTGAATTGAAGATTTCAAAAGATGACTATATTAGTAATATTTATCTTTTCCGTCTGTCCAGGTTGTTTTCCTTGTTTTGTTTTGTTTGTTGTTTTTTTGTTGTTGTTGTTTTTTTGTTGTTGTTKTGTTGTTGTTGTTGTTGTTGTTGTTGTTGTTTTGTTTTGTTTTGTTTGTTTTTTTTTGTTTGTTTGATTTTTTCACCCTGTTTGCTAGTTCTGTGTTGTGTCTTTTATAAAACACAGCAGGAGTAAAAAGCTTCAAATTAAAGTCCACAGGAAAAAATGCTGCATAGAGACAATGGTCAATTTGCGGGAGACTATGTGTATAATTCAAATTACCGCTGGTGTCAGAATCAGTATATATTTATTATTATTCATTATATATTCAGTGTGCTTTAAAAACTTCCTGGGAGTCTCGAGACTGACAAAATAAATGACAGTAATTGATAGGGTATGATGAAATTACTAAGCGTGTAACAGCAATTTTTTTCTAGTTCCCCTTGCAGAATAATATCATGATCATCTCCTACTAATCGTACTACACAGTGGTCGAGATACCAACTCCTGCACATATCAATATGTACCTTTCGTTTGGTTCTCGCAAGACTGTGCAGCATTTTTTGGAATCGTTATATCGAAATAAATCACAGACTTTAGGGCTCACAGTAATAAACACACATAGGTGACGGACCAGTGGGAGTGGGGTAGTGATTTTAGCATATCATTTCTAGTAGGTCAAACTAGGTCTGTTAGAAATACGTTTGCAAATAATTAAACGGATGGACCAGAATATATTCATCAAATGATAAATGGCTTCTTTTTAAGTCATAGTACGTTTTTAGTTTATCTGGGTTCTAATAATATTGCAGACAATTCAAAGTAAAGTCATTAAATGGTCATTCGAGTTGGACAACCAATCAGAATGCCGATTTAAGAAGCAATAATGGCGTTTCTTTATACAGTACTACGTTTTTAGATTATTTAAGATTAAAGTAATCGGTACCTTATTCGTTCGTTCGTTCGTTCGTTCGTTCGTTCGTTCGTTCGTTCGTTTCGTTCGTTGAGGCGAACATGATTCGTTCTACGTTCAACAAATGCTGCATTTCATTCTTTATTCTGGTTTGCTTGACATTTATCTTCTTATGAAGAAAAACAGACTGCTTCATTTTAATAATGAATGAATTCCACTTCAATAGTTAAAAAAACTCTCGGGACCTTTCATGACGTATGACAATTTCACAATAATCATTCCAACTACTTCACAAATTAATGAAAGTGATGAACCTGCCTTCTTTTAGCGGATCGAGCATTACAATTACACGAGAAAAGACAAAATATTTCAAATATTATATGTTGTTGACCGGTAATAACTGTCAATAAGTGTTAACTGCTTTCCCGACGTTCAAGTCAATAAGTGTTTCGCTATAAATCAAGTGTCAAAGAAAAAAAGCATTTATTTGATTTTTTGATTATTTGATTTCCAAAAAACTTAGAAAATATTGGGAAAATAACTTCCGTATAGTTATTACGGGTCAACAACATAACATCCATATAAATAATATAGTTGCCTGCTGAAAGCCGTTGCCGGGGAAACATCGAAGCTTGTCTATACGTTCACGTGATACCCTCTCGCCTAATCAGAGTACGAGAAAAATGGACTTTGATAGTTGATTTATAACAAAGGTTTTTATTTTCATTAGAATAAACATGCATGTCTGCCGTATGATAAAGTTCTATGGTTCTGTCCATGGATCGTGAACTGATGGGGTTCCTGTGTGAATTTGGCGAAAATTATCGCGCCAAAACTCGCGCGTGTGCGGGTTCCAGGTTTGGGACTCTCGCTGCGCTAATTCTTACGTGTTTTAATTATCAATATGAAATGAGCTGCCAGACATGGGGCGGATAAAGATGCATATATACTACTCATACTCTGATATAAATGTATTATTATTACATTAGTTTTGTCATATACATGAAATTCATCTTGCTGGAGTTCGTGTCTAACCTAATCATGTTACTTAATAAAATTGAACAGAACGTAAGTTTCGTTTGCATATTTATTATCATTTACATTTTGAGTACATTCAGCATCCATTCATCCTTTCTTTTTCCCTTTTGAATTTTCTTCTTTCTTTCTTTCTTTTTTTTTTTTTTTTTTTTTTTTTTTTTTTTTTTTCCCTTTCCTTATTCTTTTACTGATTTACTTTTGCATTTTTTATGTATATATATATTTCTCTTTTCTGTTCAGTTACTTTCTTTCTTTCTTTCTTCGTTATCTTTTTTTTTTCCATTTCCTTCCTCTTTCCTTGTTCCTCTTTTTTTCGTATTACCCTTCTCTTTTTTAATTATAGATTTCAATTATTATGGCTTCAATGGCACGATAATTCCCCATGGATTTTTATTAATACTCCAAACACTTCTGACATGTGCAAAAGTACTAGATCATCGCTATCAGGCTATACATTTCAATTATGAACATATGCATATATTGATTGATCGATTCTTTAATTCCTTAAACTTTCTCTTTCTTTACCCTTCTTAGTCTTCCTTTTATTATTTCCATTCTATTCCTTCCTTGCTTTCTTTCTTCAAATTTGCTTTCGTACGTAAAGGGCGTTATTTTCTAGTTCTTGAATATAAGTATTCGATATAAGTATTCAATATAAGTATTCAATATAAGTATTTAATATAAGTATCATTCGGCGACGTCTTTTACGCCGCACGCGATGCTTAAACTCTTCTTTGTGTCGTTAGTTTGTTAGTATTCCGCTATTCCTACTTTATTTTTCATACATACACATACAAAGATACGAATACGTGATTCAAAACTTTCCAAATTTTTTTGATAACAATGCCTATTTAACATGTGTGTGTATGTATATATACCAATAAAATATCTGCAATTAAGTATATCTCATATACATATGTGTTTTGTATTTCCATCATACGTCACTGACAGTTAATTACTTTATGGTACCAGTTCTGAGAATCTAATATATTAGATATCATAGCTTAGCCTTTTTCTTGAACCTTAAGGACTTTTCATCAAAACACAGTAATTTTGTCGTATTGGGGCCACGTCCAAGACATAGCTAAAAAACCACCATTGTACTAGCTGAAAGCCTAATAGTATAGTCAATAAGAGCACGCCATTGCTAATATCCAGTGTTTTTTTTTTTAATGATACATAAACAGACACCCACACACACACACACACACACACACANACACACACACACACACACACACAAGCACACGAAAACGATATCAGTAATTATAGGAAATCATTATTTTTTTCAAGAAAACCCTAGTAATAAACAACCACTTGAAAAAACTATCAGGGATGACATCCCATAATTTCTGATATCGTTTTCATGAACTTGTTTACCAAACTTACTAATTTGTGCAAATTCGTGCAACTTCTTTCTTACAAAGTTTTTCATGATTATATGGTGTGCACTCTTACTAGCTATAATCAATGTGTTGTATTTTTCTTTTTCTTTATGCTTTTAATCATGCTAAAACAACTCATACAGCAAAACTGTAACTTGGGCAAAGTAAATAGGGTACTTGTACAACTTCCCGATAAGCAAAACAAAACTCACGGTCTCTGTGGCCTTAGAGGATACCATGTCTATATGCAACAGATTTGGAATTCAACATTCGGGGGAAAGCTACAAGGCATCTTACAAACGTAATAGTGGAAATTGCCACTGGAAAATTTCTCGTTTTACACGATTTTTTCATTTAAGAATAGAACTACCGACCATCATCCCTCGTCCAAAGAGGTTTGGGAATTCCAGTTAACGTCAAAATACAGATCAGTGGAAGCTTAACCACAAAACGAGCAAGTATAATTCTTGAAGAACTTTGTACAGAGCACATGAGCACATGGTGATGAGGAAGACAAAGATTTTGAGTAAATGAGCAAATGGAATCGGGGAGATGATTAAAAGGTTAATATTTCAAGTAAAGCCTTTATGTGTGTTAATATTCGAGCACCAAAATTTTTGTAAAACTTTATTTTGGGGACTATCAATTTTTGGCGAATTTTTGAAATCGCAATATTCGCGAAATAACGTGTCACAAAAATTAAGTGGGATAAGTTATATTCCTCGATATCAAGTTATTCAGTATGTTTGAGACCATCGTTTGTGGCCAGTTATCCGCATTTGTGGCCTCAACAAATGCGCGAATACTTTACCATGTTTTTCCATATAATGGTTAATCATCTACCACATCAAGTCATATTCATTATCTTCAACCAAGCTAAGATTAGATTTGTTATTCCAGATGAATATGTATAGCCTTCTAGCATCTCAGATGTAAATAATGTAATTGATGTAGTTCCGCTTCTTATATCCGCCTATCAGAAGCCAATTCTCTCCAACAGCTGGTCTCTGTTTTATCTGGAGTTACTCTTGGCCTATTGAACAGAACTTAACATTAATTCAAAAATACTGTGTTGCACAAGGGCAGAATAGCTTTCAGCAGTAGTCAATCGTCTTAATCATGTTTCGACAAAGCACTGATCTTCTGCCTCTATGACACAGTGCAAGGGAATTAATCCTAAAAAACAAAAATGGAAGTGATCACCTGCAAGTGAATATATTGGTGTATTGACCGTTGAGTGAAAAATCGAGCTTTTTAGCTGGCCATCACTTGACAAACTTTACGTACTACGACAGTCATCATTTTCCTAAAGATCAAAGGTACTATTTTTGTTAATGTAAACAGATCATGCTTTATTATCGTAGTCTGAGCTAGTGATATATGATTTCCAAAGAGAAATCTATAAAAGTAAATTCATTTGTTTATTCCATTTTATTTTTTGCCTTTTTCT